AGTTTCGTAACACCCTCAAGCACAAGTGAGAGCTGGGCTTGAAGTCATTAAGTTCCACGTGGAAGGAGAACATCCTGTAAAATTTCAGTTTTCTGGCTTTTCTGGTTTCAAAGTTAGTAGCTTATACGCCAAAAACTTGGACAAGCCGCTACGTGGGAACTACATCGTCTAGAATTTTGGGGATGGATGGCCCGTGCATGCATGTAAATTAAGTTCTCAAAGTTTCTAATCTGCAACTTTTGTAGGTCTCGAGATGAAAAATTGGTAGAGACGAACACACAGACACACACACGCACACATACACACACAGATACACACGCACAGACAACCCCTCGACAATATGCATTTTTGCATTGCACAGATGCAAAAAACGCATAAAAAGAAACAGATATATCTACTGAATTCGAGAAGAAATTCATACCACTGTCATTAAAGAAAAGAAGGAACAGGATGGGCGTTTCGCAATCTGCCAGCCAATCCGCCACTTCGTCACACATCACACCCATATCTTTCGTCAACGAGACGCCCGGATTGCTAACAAGATGCAATCCATACTGAGCAGACTGTGCGCGGAAAATCTTCCAAAACGCGCTAAACATTATTACCATTACTTATTTCCTTTCAATCTCAATTACTTTTCATTCTTAACTAAAAAATATATTGTTACCACAGTCGTTGCACTGACAAGGTCCAACTGTGGTAATGGTAAGAAATGTATATTCTATCATCCATTTCTACATTTTCTAACAAAATTTTCACTTAACCTTAAAAATGACTCAAACTGAAAAAGAAATTCTATTCCACTTTAATTCTCAAAAAAAGCCACTCGCAAAAGAGTTTCTTTGCTATGCTACAACTGTTGTTGTGAACAGAGCCCTTTTTCAAAAATTGTTCTGCACCGGGAAGGAATCGAACCACTCCCCTTCACGTCCGGACGCAATGTGTTACCACTACACCACCGGTCTGTCTTGTGTTCCAAGTTCAGCTCTGGTAGCACATCTACTGTGCATCTGCCTTTCGGGGCAAAAGACAGCTGCTTCGTTCTCTTTCTTTTTTTATGGCTGCTTCTTGGCTGATTTTTCGCGGGTCTTCCGTTGATAGATGATTGTGTTTTGATGAGATTCAGGTTAA